GAACACAGATAAATGTATCAAAAGTATGTCTATATAATATTAGAATTTTCTGAGACAATGAATTTTGGGTTTTCATTTATTTTTTTACAGTAAGAAGTTTTAATTTAATGGAATTTTTGGACAAAAAATTGCAATATATGGTGATATATCGTATCGTGACCCCTTTGTCATGATATGTATCGTATCGCCAAATTCTTGCCAATACACAGGCCTAATAATTATTCAACATTACAGACAGGACTGGACAGATCTTACATGTGAACATAACTATAAGGAAATCCAGAARCCTTTGACACAACACACAACCTCTGCATCTTCACACTTCCTTTAACATGGTTCCTAACCTTTTTAATGCCACTTGTAATTATATTTAAGACCAACTTCACAATAAACACAAATGTAAAAAAAAAACAGTTAGCGACTAGTTTAGCCAAATGTATATTTTAACATAAAACAACTAGCTGCAAGAGGCAATCATTAAATTACTTCAGAAAATAAATAAATGTTACCAATTATTTTAATATTTGAGACAAATAATCCCCCTACTTACAATGTGTCTTTATATTTTAAGCCCTCAGAAAGACTGATTTAAGACATTTTAAGGCTAATTAAAGCCTTRTTTTTGGATTGATGAATTCAAAGCCTTTTCAGACTTTGTAAGGRTCTGCAGGAACCCTGTTTAAAAGCATTTCGTACCAGTATATCAAAAGGACTTTGGGGGCCTCCTCATACATTATCCTGACCTGCAGACCCCACGGGCCTAATCTCACCCTGGATGGGAAATGGCCAATCATTTTATTGGCCATGAGGGCCATAAATCTAACGTGTAACACCTCACGCCTGAGGAAGTGCAGCAGAGGAGCTGCTGGGCTGTAAATGTGAGTGTGGATAAGACACTTAGAGGTTTTTATGGTTTAAGGATCCAACAGTTAGCAGGTCCACCAAAGATCAGCACCACCGAGGAAGGAAAACACAACTCGTTTTATATAAGCTCTTATTTTACAGCTCAGTACTTCTACTCTGAATCAAAGCCTGGTGAATGTAAACACTCCTCATACTAAATGATACATTCAGATTATTTAATCTGAATACGTTTCAATTAGGGCTGAAACGATTCCTCGAATAATTCGAGTAATTYRATTACAAAAAATCTTCGAGGCAGATAAATTTGCCTCGAAGCTTTGTAAAAAATRCAYACTGTTATAATCAGCGCACTTTTGTCCGCCTRGAATGTTATTAGTGTTACACACAATGCTACGATGTTAGCGCTTCCGCTAACAGTTAAGGCTCCCACATACTCGGACGCACACGGTCCGAGGAGGTCCGAGCGGACTCGAGCACAAGTATGGTTGRCCTCAGGTACAGGTACACCTAACTGCAGCCAAGGTGGACGTCCGTCGGACTGGACCGCGCAGAGATAATGTTTTTTACGTCCACGTATGCGTACTTGGTGTCGCACAATAAACAGCCCGGTGAGAAACAGGACCTCAGACTGTCGACGCGTCACACGTGTGTGCTTGCTAAGAGCTATATTTAGCTTTAAAAGAAGACAAAGAGTGCTGAAACGAAGCGCTCAGAAAAYAACAAATTATAAAAASMATGGGAACACTTAAAACTAAACAGAAAAGACGACAACGCTCTGCACATCCTCAGTGTTTCTGMACCGGAACAAAAACACTGCTGCATGACCCGAACACGTCTGGAGGTAACAACAGGTGTCGTTCACGTTACCTTTGGTTCCCTAAATCTGTGATAATCTGTCAGGTTACAGGTGTACGAGGAGGAGGTTTATTTAAACTAACGGTATTTGTTCACTAATCACTGTCACCTGGCAGGGTTTTATTAAACACTGTGTGAGTTGTGTGATTAAAAACAATACTTACTGTAAGTTTGTCAG